TCACACAGGATGAATGAACCACCACTACCACCACCACCATCACCAAACTAATCTGTGCTTTTCTATCTGACCCAGGTGCATCAACATACAAATTGGATGATGAACTGAAAGGTACTAGTTTTTATGCATACTGCTAATATTAACATTAGGTAACTGCCAGAGTTAAATTATTCCGACGTATTGTAGAGAATAAGGTTATACTTAGAATTCAGAGTTGTACTCATTTTTGTTGTTGTTTAGAAGAAATTGAAATATAGCTTAGTCATATGGATTGCTGGAAGTGGCTTTGGGCAAAGGATTCAGAAGCATGGATTCAGCCTCTCTGTATGTGTTATCTTGACCACTTCAGTGCTTGGTCGTCTGATTAGCATTTTCATGGTGTGATCAAACCGCCGGTGAACAGGTAAGAGGACATGCTGCGTACTAATCGTTGATCTCTCAATTCCGCTGTATTCTATTCTGGTTAGTGTCTGTCCTATTGATTGACTATAGGACTGACTGAGTGTGATTGAAACTCGGTGGACTATTGGCCACGCAGTATGCTGCATCACCTTCACTGTACGAACAGCATAGCAGTAAGTGTGACCATTGCAAGGCATACGACTGTGGAATATGGTGTCAAATTATCATGAAATTCAGAATATTTACATTTGTCGATAACCGTAGCATGTCGGCAATATTGATGGTAGAGTGTGAATGTGCTTGCATGTTGCAGTGAATACTCCAACAATGTTATGTTTCATTCACCTCTCCCGTCCTCTGATAGTGCCTGAAATTCTGCCTATTCATCAGTGAAATGTGTAATTCAGTCTACTGAGTTTACAGTTTACACGTAACAGCCTGTGACAAGGGAAGTATTTCGGATGTTGGCGAATATTTGCGGATCAGGTGGATAATTCCGATCCTCTTGTGTTCTCCGCGCTGGATGGTTCTACACAAGATGATCGGCAAAATCTCCAGCTCAGATGCACAACACCGTCAAGAATGCATGTGAACATTCAGTGTGATTACTCTCATAAAAGAATAATGCTGTGCCGAAATGACTTGATTTGAGTGGACGTGGCAAACACAGGCAAAGTAGGTGAGAAATCTGCTGTTTAGTGGGCGTGTCGCACTGTCATCATTTCAGTGACTGTCTTGCCAACAAAGTATTCTGAAGAATACTAACCTGTTTACTCGGTCGGTTATTTCTCCAAAACAACTGCCACATAATGCACAGAAGGCAGAAGAATAGATCAATAACGAATCTCACCATGTAAATGCATACAGGGAAACGCTGACAAATGTGCGTTTCAAGAGATGTATGAAAACCACTGAAATGATGTATAGCGAGAGAGAGAGAGAGAGAGAGTATTTCGACTCATGAACAAGTCGAACTGGGAAGAGATTTAACACGTTGACAAATGCAGGTGAGATACTCGTCAAGTGATGAAGAAAAGAAGAGAAAATGTCTTTTCGACGATGTGGTTCTGTGACGCTGCACAATCGTATTTATATACATCACAAACATATTTCAGTCTATCATTGAACAGTATGGTATAGCTGAACTAACTATTAAACATAGTGTTTTTTCCGGCCTATATGACTAGCTACATAGGAGCAAGTTTACTGGCATGACCGAAATGAAGTGGTTCAAAATGCAAAGATATCGTTAACAGCTTGGATCTATTCAGTGACTGCAGAAGCTGATCAATTGCTTGTCAGAAAAGAATACCATCGTCAGTGATCTAGACAAGCGATTAATCAGGATCTCTGCTGCGGTATCACGTTTGAAACCAATACTCATAAACAAAGTCTCCTTTGGAGCTGTCATCACTGACTCCATATTTCCTTTTCCTTTTGGTGACACCAAAAGGAAATCACGGTGCATTGAGCGAAAATATTTTAGATTCTATTTCCGAAAACAAGATTGGCACCACAGCAAATCAGTTTCTCAGTGGCATTAAATTTCTTATATCCCGTCCACTGATACAAGCGTGTAGCGATTCATGTACTGAAGGTATCGTAATATGATAGTGACGCTGTTCACAACACACCACCTTCCTCAGCAGGATAGCAATGAGTTAGAAGAAGAAAATTGCTGGCAAGGGAATGAATTGATTGCTAGTAGAGACGACACAAATGGCACGCAATCAAACAAAAGAAGTTCAGTTCAAATTCAATAACCAACCTCACTGAAAATTTAGAGTGGCCATGTATTCATTTTCAATACATGCACTAACAAACATCTGAATGCATTATATCTAACACAAAGTTAGTCTACGTTACCACAAAATCAAATTATACAACACAAAAACATGAATCGCCTTCCAATACAGCATTTGTCAAATAGTCACTGTGAGATACCATACAATTCCTACTGAATATTGCAAACAAAAATGGAGGAAACGGCAGCAGAAATAGATAGAAGCATGAGAAGAATTCAGCCTCCACGTAAAGGCGTTCAAACAGTAATAAAACGAACATTCAAAACCACCAAAATTTCAGAAAAGCATGAGAGCATGTATGTGAGGAAGTCCGAAAAGACAAAACGCACACGCAATAGCAAAGTCAACGAAAGAGAAACTGCACACATAAAATACAGAGTAAGAACAAACGAAATTAGAGGGAAGGGGATACAAAATTCAATTGAAAAGCAGTAATCAAGCAGAAGATAAAAGTTGGCACGGTTCAGGAAACCACAAAAAAAAATAAAATAGCTAAGAATAATAAAGAAAACTTCGTATCCAACAGCCACCGACTACAACTCGCCACGAATAGAGAGAAGACCGAAGCTGCATGCAAGAGTTTATTCCTCCAAGTATGTCAGTCAACTAACTAAGCAACACGTGACTATGTATACACATGAGATGATTTGACCTTGTCCTCAATTTGAGACACTGACATAGTGAGAGTAAAGATTGACCAATCAGTGAATTACACTACGTACGAATGGGGGCAGGAAATAAACTACTAGTCATACTGTAAAAATGGTGTGAGAGTGAGAGCGAGTTAGAAATGTTCACATGAATGACAATGTTTTATGCAAAGCTGGGGTCTTACAACAGGTGGAAAATAAGTGAAACGCATTGAACTATCGGAAAAATGGCTATGTACTTTCGCTGCAATTTCAAGGTAGTCATATTTCAGAAACAATTTTTTAAACGACTGAATATGTCACTCACTGAAAATGGAACCAACAGAGGGGTTGATTTTCGCACAATGAGGAATGCGCTCATCGGTTAAGAAAAAACACGTCAGATGCACTCTCTTTTGAACCTTAAACTGCACACACAGGTTGACCTGTTGCTGGCAAATATGTTAGTTGAAAAAAATTAAATATGTGGTTCTTCGACTTTTGAACAAATCCTGAGAAGCCCATGAATAACGGGGAAATAACAGTCTACACATACCAAACAGTCGACACCTGAATAGCTTTGAATATAAGGCAGACGTCTTCAATTACTTTCAGATAATTAATAAGCAAAAAAGTGGGCGGCTACATCCAGCTGATGCGTCGCAAATAAGGTGCAGGGAACCCATGGATTCCCCAGTGGTCTTATATCCACCAGCAATACAAAATGTAATTTGATGAAAAAATGTATTTCTCCATCGTTATACTGGACTGAATTTATCAACCAACAACGGTGGATTACAATTACCAACAAAAACTTATTGACATGATTTTTCCGCCCTTCTGAAAACCAGTTAACATCGTCCTATCCTTCTCAACAATCCTGTTATCCATTATACAACAACCAATTTTATTTTGCTGAAGTCCACAATCATCATCTTTCTTATCGATGACTCATAAATTAACACGTTTACCTAATATTTCATAAACATTTAGAAAGTTACGTATATTAAGGTAAAGCATGGTGAGACCTGATTTAAAACAATTATCTTCCCTTGATTATATTGCTATAAAATGATCTCGAGAGAAATCAAATTCATGGATTCTGATCCCCAATAAATCTACACTTCATTTCTGTCTCTCGCTACATGTTTCACAGCATCATCAGTCTGTTATTCGTGACTGGATGAAATTTCCAACCTTCTCGACAAATTCCATTGTTGAAGGCAACTACTGCATAGTGAGCAAAAATAACCCACAGTACATCTGAAACTAACCACAATGTAATAAAATACTCCCAACACTGACCAAAAAAATGAAATCTCAGTCGATTACAGTTCTCTCGACAAAGCCAGTCTAACTATATTTAAATCATGCATAACACAACTCTGATCTCACACTCTCTCAATGAAACAATTCACTAACTCTACATCTTAGCAGTCATCACAGATTAAAGGTTAATATTCGGCCTATTTGTCTAATCCTCTTGTTCATCACAACATCGAAAAACTGACTTCAAATTGATTTCCATCAAAACATCAATTCCTCGTTAACCAGAGTCATATGTAACAACCTAATACAAATTTTATGAGAACGAGCAGAACATTTGCTGAAACGTAGTAAAAGACTTTCTAACTAGAAGATAGCAAGGAAAATGAAGATTGACTAGCTGAATATTTACCGATATCACGAAGAACTTCACAGTTGGCAATCACCTGAAAGTAACAAGATTTATGCATTCATATTTCATAAAGGTGATTCAGAAAGCAACATAGTTCATTCACCCTTTCATCTGTCTAAATGCACAACGTGAATCATGTCCATTATGTATTTCACCTTATGGTCACACGATTTTGGCCATCATGTGTGAGTCAATTCAACTCGATAGATCATAATATCTGATTCACAGGTGACCACAATCGGTTAACCAACTCAATGACCAGTAAACAGATTATCATTTCTCAGTATCTTGGCTTACTCATCATACCACATCTTTTGACCTACAACTGTCAAGTTCAATCTAGACTGGTCACTTCTCTCTTATTATTCACAATATCACACCCAACTACACACTCGTACAATTAATTGGTTGAACAAGAATTACGCGCATCATGATGATACTCATCCGCCAAATAGACAAAGCATCACAATACACAATAATGGGTGAATGAATATCTGCCTCACACACACACACACACACTTCTCATGCCTCTACTCAATTCAACAATATAAATACTCTCTGATCCATGTGAAAAATAAACCACTTCAAACTACCTCCGATAAACCAAGTAGGTTTATGCATAGTGATATCATTTCGTCGAATGACAAATTACTCATGTTGATTTCAGTGCTGACCCTTTGGTTTCTGTGTTTCTCCAGATATAATGAAAACCTGGTTACTGGCGTTGTTGGTCGTAATATACATTCAATGTGCAATGACATACGTCCGAAGGAAAGGTAGGTCATCAACTGCTTACAGTTCATGTATTGATTGATACATCGTTTCAATTCATTTGGTCATTTTTGTGAGTGATATTTCCACCATGACTCATCATTATATCTCCAAAGAGTCCGGCTCATCTGCAACCTACAAATAACTATGAAGGCATTCCACACTGACTGAGAATTAGATCATATTTGACTAGTTGAGTTAAAAAGTGATCACCGATCGGATGACATCACTGGTTCTGTGTGCAGATGATTTCTCAGTGAGAGCCAAACCCTACCCTGCACTAGAGAAAACTCAGAATATCTGATTACAGTGATACTGAGTAACATCCGAACCTTGCTGTATCGAAATGAAATTTGCGAGACTCGATTGGGGTTTGGTCAAATGTGTTGTATCACTTTGCCATTCCTATCTTCACACAAACACGTGCTAATATTACCATGTATTGTTTTCATTTTGATCAAGGTGATGAGGGAGAAAAACAGTTATCGAGATCAGGAGTGAACATAAATCGCTTCCTCACCGATAATAAGGATGTTCTGGGTCACCCGAAAAGCAAACACCGACACAGAGGGAGGAAGGGTGTCAGGGGAAGGAAGTGTAGTCATGGCAGGTGTCGAGGTGATAGACATCGAAAGGGCGCACCATATGGTATTGGTGGATCCGGTATGCCAGGCGGTCAGGATTACCGTGGCAGTGGACAAGGAGGCATTGGTCTATTCGGTCAACGGAATACAGGTGTGAAGAGTGGCAGTTCGAATGGAGTGGTTGGTGGGCAAGGTGGTGGACTGGGTGGAATACTTGGTCAGAATGGTGGTGGTATTGGTAGAGTAGTCAGCCAACAAGGTGGAGGTTTGCGTGGAGAAGTCAGTCAACGTGGTGGAGGTTTGGGTGGACTATTTGGTAAACAAGGAGGAGGACTGGGTGGAATACTTGGTCAGAATATTGGTGGTTTGAGTGGCATACTTGGTAAACAAGGAGGAGGACTTGGTGGAATACTTGGTCAGAATATTGGTGGTTTGAGCGGAATACTCGGTCAACAAGGAGGAGGATTGGGTGGCTTGGGTAAGATGGTTTCCGGTCTAGGTGGTGGAAACCCTCTGGGTAAACTTTTTGGTTAACATCAGTGGAACTTCACCTTATATCTTATATTCAAATCTTCAGAGGTATTTTACCATACAATCAATTCATTACAATACACTTGAATCCAATCATGAACATGTGTTCAATGTAGTTTTGTAATATAACCGAATTGTTTACTTTTCAATAAACATGCATTCAGAAAAGAAATCATGTCTTTTATCTGTCACTCTATATTCGAATTTATTCAGTTGAAATGCTTACTGTTTGCCTTGATAAATTCGAACTACACGTGAACTAAGAAAGTAACATATCACTGACAAAAATTCCAACGAAATTTGAATTCCCTTATTCACAATGCTTGTTGTTTCAATCTTTTCGATTGAATGAGATGATAACACATTGTGGAGTGGAAAAAATGGAAGCTTCTATAGAACATTCAGGTTCCAAGACATTTCGAGGTACTTACCTTTTTACAGGAGCAATGCACTAATCAAATATGATCATATTACTCTCGTCTACTTCGGATACATACTTTCAATTTCACACCACTGTGTTTTGTTGATGAGTAGGTTTCATTCTCCACTCCAAACGTTACTTGTTCACCTCCACCGACTTCGTAATCTATTAGTCCTCTTAACACTTTGAGATATCGATAGCTTCTTCATTTTATGATCTCACTTTTCTGACTTCACTTGTCTGTCTGACACCGTCTTCACTTGATCACTTGTTTGCGTGAACCTGTTTATTTTACTCTATGAATATGCGTATTTTTGACATTTTTGACCATAGCTCGTTTTCTAGATACTTTGTGCATGCTCTTCTTGTAAATTCCCATTGACACAGGTAAACCGATAGACACCTCGTAGTTCGATATGTGTATTTCATTGGTCATCATTGTTGTTAATTATTATTTTAACATGATCTGCTTCCATCATTGAAAGTGTAATCGCCATCTCAGCATTAGAAAATTAGAGGCAGTGTACCAGACATCTGCTATCTCACACTGCTACTATATGAACAGATGATTTGAATATTTTCGACGCTTTTGTGATTTGTTAAAACAGAAAGTAACTATGACTGAAGATATTGGAGAACATGGTGAGATGGTGTTATTTATTCAGGAGTTTGAATATGAAGGTGGAATATTTCATATTGTAGGGCAGTTATTAGGTAACATGATTATTTGCTTGATCATAGAGTATTTTCATTCAGTTTCATAGAGAAACAAATGTTCCATCTATCAGTCTATTCATAAATTAATACAGAGCTATTCATACTAAGGAATTGGATAGAGTTTAATTGTATTTAGCTGTACAAACTGCCAGATATATTATTACAGTGAAGAGAAAAGTTTTTCTCAAATTAAACAAGTGCATTTTCACTTCACGTGGTCTTCATAAAATAATATGTCCATAAAAAGCGAAATCGCTCAACTTGGTTATCATGATCTTCAGTCTGAACAGATAAAATTTCAAGCCTTAACATTTCTAATTCAGCAGCCAGTCATCTGATATAACTATCCACAGCTTAACCGTTTCCTAGTGTTTTCTTTTGCGAGACTTACTGCTTGAAGGAATTCGTGAACGTATATACCATAACTACCCAAACTCAGGAATGCAGCAGTTCGAATTGAAGACGAATTCTGTCGGCATCATACTTGCACGTGAACCTGAAGAGATTACTCATCAATGAAATCTTCTATAGTCCAACGTAGACACGCTGCACAACAGTTCTGTCAGCCAAATTAGCATTCGTATATCTGGGGTATTATTCGAATATGCAGATGAATATTTCCAACAACCTATCCGATATCCTGTCAAACACCACCTCTCAATTCAAAAATACACACAGCAAAGGAGGTAAATTGAGATGAACGAAAGGTACAAGCATTCATCTGTTGAGATGTGAAACCACTGACATTTGGAATGTTCGTTAAGTGTTCAACAGACAGGCAGACAGATAGATAGATAGGTGGCATGAAATTAAGATGAAACCTATGTACAGAACTGCTCCAAATGACTGGCATTTGCAACTGTACATATTGAGGGAATGAACAAGCACAACGTGATATATCGTTTCTCAGTGAGATGCACATAATTTACCAGATCCCCATCCTTCCATCAGTTTCTCACACTTTATGTTTCAAAGTATGTGCACATTGATTTCTTTTCAGACTGCCAGTTTCGGTAGTCTGTTGTTGTTTGCAGTGATGTCAGAGATGTGAATTGAGCTAATTAGCTGCGCCAATGCTGTTTATTGCCACTTTTTTGAAAAGTGAATATAAATTGGAAACTTTGTTGCCTGTCGTTCTTCATAATCCATTTCGGATGATATGTATTCTGACCCAGGGGTGGGATTGAGCGCGTGGGTACAATGAATACTGAGACTCAGTAGACACCTCAACCGAATACCTTCACGACTGACCTCCCTTAATTCCTTCTGCTTCACTGAGACGCGAAAAAATCAGAAGACAAAGACGGCGTATGACTGCAAGAACAGTGACAACCTCTATTAGGCAAATACATGACATATATGTATTTACAAAACTCTCAGAAAGTGAAGCCATAAATGAATCAATACGATTTCTTGCATGAGGTCGAACTTCTCCAATCAGGTTCTCATTTCAGCGCATGCATATATCACGACCTGAACATGATCTGATCATGACTTGAAAACAACTCCCCTATTGACTGCCTTCTTGTCGCTACGTATCAATATGTAGAACTCAGTCGCGAGTAGGTGCGTAGCTATTTGGGAAATCAACTATGCATTCGACATCTAGATTTATGGGGTGATTCATTCTCTTCTGTGACTTGAGCTATGCTGTCCTGTGGGGGTAATATTGAAATCTGCATCAACAGACCCATGAAATTGTATGCTGTCGAGGTGGCAATAAGTTGGGGAGTTGATTGAAAGAATGGAAACGTCGAGTCACCTAAGTCCTGGTCATCATGTTTTGAAAATATTTTGCCCGATAGAAGACATTTTCAATTGTTAGTCCTACACAACAGCTGCATCATCTTCCAATCATGCCTTCAGTATCCAGATGATTCGCTGGTACCATTTACATGCTCTATTATCAGATATCAACTTCACGTAGTCGAGATAAAACTGTACACATTGTGTACACGATAATGTTGGCTGCATAACATATTCTCCACGGTAACGGATTATGAAAAATGAAGTCCTTATTTCATGACTTTCTGTTTTCCTCCGACTGTGAAACAAGCCTTGACAAGGTGTTATTCGAGAATCAACAGTCAATATTTCGAAAGGTGAACAAAACATAGGTTTCAGATGAATGGTAGTGATGCTCTTATTAGGCAACTTGAAGGCCAGTGGACAGACGTCAGCTAAAACGAATGGGGCCACCGGTATTTTCATTTACTGGAAGTGACAGCGGATGCTGAGTAAGTCAGAGATGTTAAGACGAATCACTGCAGACAACACAGTCATTCTTAACCAGACATGTCCACAGAACCATATCCAACCGGTTATTTCAAAAAATTACTGTCTTCAATTCCTACAGACGGCAAACGCAACAGTGCATCAGAGCATGGTGAGTAAGGCCTAGTTAGACATTTTCTACAGATTTCCGACATATAAAAATTGAGACAGCTCCACGTCTACTCAGGATTCGTCAACAAACTGCAGATTGACATGTGTGATACTTCACTTACTACAATTAGTTGGTCTTCACTCCCCATATAATCCGACCACATTTATATACTGCCACATAATGCACAGAAGGCAGAAGAATAGATCAATAACGAATCTCACCATGTAAATGCATACAGGGAAACGCTGACAAATGTGCGTTTCAAGAGATGTATGAAAACCACTGAAATGATGTATAGCGAGAGAGAGAGAGAGAGAGAGTATTTCGACTCATGAACAAGTCGAACTGGGAAGAGATTTAACACGTTGACAAATGCAGGTGAGATACTCGTCAAGTGATGAAGAAAAGAAGAGAAAATGTCTTTTCGACGATGTGGTTCTGTGACGCTGCACAATCGTATTTATATACATCACAAACATATTTCAGTCTATCATTGAACAGTATGGTATAGCTGAACTAACTATTAAACATAGTGTTTTTTCCGGCCTATATGACTAGCTACATAGGAGCAAGTTTACTGGCATGACCGAAATGAAGTGGTTCAAAATGCAAAGATATCGTTAACAGCTTGGATCTATTCAGTGACTGCAGAAGCTGATCAATTGCTTGTCAGAAAAGAATACCATCGTCAGTGATCTAGACAAGCGATTAATCAGGATCTCTGCTGCGGTATCACGTTTGAAACCAATACTCATAAACAAAGTCTCCTTTGGAGCTGTCATCACTGACTCCATATTTCCTTTTCCTTTTGGTGACACCAAAAGGAAATCACGGTGCATTGAGCGAAAATATTTTAGATTCTATTTCCGAAAACAAGATTGGCACCACAGCAAATCAGTTTCTCAGTGGCATTAAATTTCTTATATCCCGTCCACTGATACAAGCGTGTAGCGATTCATGTACTGAAGGTATCGTAATATGATAGTGACGCTGTTCACAACACACCACCTTCCTCAGCAGGATAGCAATGAGTTAGAAGAAGAAAATTGCTGGCAAGGGAATGAATTGATTGCTAGTAGAGACGACACAAATGGCACGCAATCAAACAAAAGAAGTTCAGTTCAAATTCAATAACCAACCTCACTGAAAATTTAGAGTGGCCATGTATTCATTTTCAATACATGCACTAACAAACATCTGAATGCATTATATCTAACACAAAGTTAGTCTACGTTACCACAAAATCAAATTATATAACACAAAAACATGAATCGCCTTCCAATACAGCATCTGTCAAATAGTCACTGTGAGATACCATACAATTCCTACTGAATATTGCAAACAAAAATGGAGGAAACGGCAGCAGAAATAGATAGAAGCATGAGAAGAATTCAGCCTCCACGTAAAGGCGTTCAAACAGTAATAAAACGAACATTCAAAACCACCAAAATTTCAGAAAAGCATGAGAGCATGTATGTGAGGAAGTCCGAAAAGACAAAACGCACACGCAATAGCAAAGTCAACGAAAGAGAAACTGCACACATAAAATACAGAGTAAGAACAAACGAAATTAGAGGGAAGGGGATACAAAATTCAATTGAAAAGCAGTAATCAAGCAGAAGATAAAAGTTGGCACGGTTCAGGAAACCACAAAAAAAAATAAAATATCTAAGAATAATGAAAGAAAACTTCGTATCCAACAGCCACCGACTACAACTCGCCACGAATAGAGAGATGACCGAAGCTGCATGCAAGAGTTTATTCCTCCAAGTATGTCAGTCAACTAACTAAGCAACACGTGACTATGTATACACATGAGATGATTTGACCTTGTCCTCAATTTGAGACACTGACATAGTGAGAGTAAAGATTGACCAATCAGTGAATTACACTACGTACGAATGGGGGCAGGAAATAAACTACTAGTCATACTGTAAAAATGGTGTGAGAGTGAGAGCGAGTTAGAAATGTTCACATGAATGACAATGTTTTATGCAAAGCTGGGGTCTTACAACAGGTGGAAAATAAGTGAAACGCATTGAACTATCGGAAAAATGGCTATGTACTTTCGCTGCAATTTCAAGGTAGTCATATTTCAGAAACAATTTTGAAACGACTGAATATGTCACTCACTGAAAATGGAACCAACAGAGGGGTTGATTTTCGCACAATGAGGAATGCGCTCATCGGTTAAGAAAAAACACGTCAGATGCACTCTCTTTTGAGCCTTAAACTGCACACACAGGTTGACCTGTTGCTGGCAAATATGTTAGTTGAAAAAAAATTAAATATGTGGTTCTTCGACTTTTGAACAAATCCTGAGAAGCCCATGAATAACGGGGAAATAACAGTCTACACATACCAAACAGTCGACACCTGAATAGCTTTGAATATAAGGCAGACGTCTTCAATTACTTTCAGATAATTAATAAGCAAAAAAGTGGGCGGCTACATCCAGCTGATGCGTCGCAAATAAGGTGCAGGGAACCCATGGATTCCCCAGTGGTCTTATATCCACCAGCAATACAAAATGTAATTTGATGAAAAAATGTATTTCTCCATCGTTATACTGGACTGAATTTATCAACCAACAACGGTGGATTACAATTACCAACAAAAACTTATTGACATGATTTTTCCGCCCTTCTGAAAACCAGTTAACATCGTCCTATCCTTCTCAACAATCCTGTTATCCATTATACAACAACCAATTTTATTTTGCTGAAGTCCACAATCATCATCTTTCTTATCGATGACTCATAAATTAACACGTTTACCTAATATTTCATAAACATTTAGAAAGTTACGTATATTAAGGTAAAGCATGGTGAGACCTGATTTAAAACAATTATCTTCCCTTGATTATATTGCTATAAAATGATCTCGAGAGAAATCAAATTCATGGATTCTGATCCCCAATAAATCTACACTTCATTTCTGTCTCTCGCTACATGTTTCACAGCATCATCAGTCTGTTATTCGTGACTGGATGAAATTTCCAACCTTCTCGACAAATTCCATTGTTGAAGGCAACTACTGCATAGTGAGCAAAAATAACCCACAGTACATCTGAAACTAACCACAATGTAATAAAATACTCCCAACACTGACCGAAAAATGAAATCTCAGTCGATTACAGTTCTCTCGACAAAGCCAGTCTAACTATATTTAAATCATGCATAACACACCTCTGATCTCACACTCTCTCAATGAAACAATTCACTAACTACTACATCTTAGCAGTCATCACAGATTAAAGGTTAATATTCGGCCTATTTGTCTAATCCTCTTGTTCATCACAACATCGAAAAACTGACTTCAAATTGATTTCCATCAAAACATCAATTCCTCGTTAACCAGAGTCATATGTAACAACTTAATACAAATTTTATGAGAACGAGCAGAACATTTGCTGAAACGTAGTAAAAGACTTTCTAACTAGAAGATAGCAAGGAAAATGAAGATTGACTAGCTGAATATTTACCGATATCACGAAGAACTTCACAGTTGGCAATCACTTGAAAGTAACAAGATTAATGCATTCATATTTCATAAAGGTGATTCAGAAAGCAACATAGTTCATTCACCCTTTCATCTGTCTAAATGCACAACGTGAATCATGTCCATTATGTATTTCACCTTATGGTCACACGATTTTGGCCATCATGTGTGAGTCAATTCAACTCGATAGATCATAATATCTGATTCACAGGTGACCACAATCGGTTAACCAACTCAATGACCAGTAAACAGATTATCATTTCTCAGTATCTTGGCTTACTCATCATACCACATCTTTTGACCTACAACTGTCAAGTTCAATCTAGACTGGTCACTTCTCTCTTATTATTCACAATATCACACCCAACTACACACTCGTACAATTAATTGGTTGAACAAGAATTACGCGCATCATGATGATACTCATCCGCCAAATAGACAAAGCATCACAATACACAATAATGGGTGAATGAATATCTGCCTCACACACACACACACACACTTCTCATGCCTCTACTCAATTCAACAATATAAATACTCTCTGATCCATGTGAAAAATAAACCACTTCAAACTACCTCCGATAAACCAAGTAGGTTTATGCATAGTGATATCATTTCGTCGAATGACAAATTACTCATGTTGATTTCAGTGCTGACCCTTTGGTTTCTGTGTTTCTCCAGATATAATGAAAACCTGGTTACTGGCGTTGTTGGTCGTAATATACATTCAATGTGCAATGACATACGTCCGAAGGAAAGGTAGGTCATCAACTGCTTACAGTTCATGTATTGATTGATACATCGTTTCAATTCATTTGGTCATTTTTGTGAGTGATATTTCCACCATGACTCATCATTATATCTCCAAAGAGTCCGGCTCATCTGCAACCTACAAATAACTATGAAGGCATTCCACACTGACTGAGAATTAGATCATATTTGACTAGTTGAGTTAAAAAGTGATCAACGATCGGATGACATCACTGGTTCTGTGTGCAGATGATTTCTCAGTGAGAGCCAAACCCTACCCTGCACTAGAGAAAACTCAGAATATCTGATTACAGTGATACTGAGTAACATCCGAACCTTGCTGTATCGAAATGAAATTTGCGAGACTCGATTGGGGTTTGGTCAAATGTGTTGTATCACTTTGCCATTCCTATCTTCACACAAACACGTGCTAATATTACCATGTATTGTTTTCATTTTGATCAAGGTGATGAGGGAGAAAAACAGTTATCGAGATCAGGAGTGAACATAAATCGCTTCCTCACCGATAATAAGGATGTTCTGGGTCACCCGAAAAGCAAACACCGACACAGAGGGAGGAAGGGTGTCAGGGGAAGGAAGTGTAGTCATGGCAGGTGTCGAGGTGATAGACATCGAAAGGGCGCACCATATGGTATTGGTGGATCCGGTATGCCAGGCGGTCAGGATTACCGTGGCAGTGGACAAGGAGGCATTGGTCTATTCGGTCAACGGAATACAGGTGTGAAGAGTGGCAGTTCGAATGGAGTGGTTGGTGGGCAAGGTGGTGGACTGGGTGGAATACTTGGTCAGAATGGTGGTGGTATTGGTAGAGTAGTCAGCCAACAAGGTGGAGGTTTGCGTGGAGAAGTCAGTCAACGTGGTGGAGGTTTGGGTGGACTATTTGGTAAACAAGGAGGAGGACTGGGTGGAATACTTGGTCAGAATATTGGTGGTTTGAGTGGCATACTTGGTAAACAAGGAGGAGGACTTGGTGGAATACTTGGTCAGAATATTGGTGGTTTGAGCGGAATACTCGGTCAACAAGGAGGAGGATTGGGTGGCTTGGGTAAGATGGTTTCCGGTCTAGGTGGTGGAAACCCTCTGGGTAAACTTTTTGGTTAACATCAGTGGAACTTCACCTTATATCTTATATTCAAATCTTCAGAGGTATTTTACCATACAATCAATTCATTACAATACACTTGAATCCAATCATGAACATGTGTTCAATGTAGTTTTGTAATATAACCGAATTGTTTACTTTTCAATAAACATGCATTCAGAAAAGAAATCATGTCTTTTATCTGTCACTCTATATTCGAATTTATTCAGTTGAAATGCTTACTGTTTGCCTTGATAAATTCGAACTACACGTGAAACTAAGAAAGTAACATATCACTGACAAAAATTCCAACGAAATTTGAATTCCCTTATTCACAATGCTTGTTGTTTCAATCTTTTCGATTGAATGAGATGATAACACATTGTGGAGTGGAAAAAATGGAAGCTTCTATAGAACATTCAGGTTCCAAGACATTTCGAGGTACTTACCTTTTTACAGGAGCAATGCACTAATCAAATATGATCATATTACTCTCGTCTACTTCGGATACATACTTTCAATTTCACACCACTGTGTTTTGTTGATGAGTAGGTTTCATTCTCCACTCCAAACGTTACTTGTTCACCTCCACCGACTTCGTAATCTATTAGTCCTCTTAACACTTTGAGATATCGATAGCTTCTTCATTTTATGATCTCACTTTTCTGACTTCACTTGTCTGTCTGACACCGTCTTCACTTGATCACTTGTTTGCGTGAACCTGTTTATTTTACTCTATGAATATGCGTATTTTTGACATTTTTGACCATAGCTCGTTTTCTAGATACTTTGTGCATGCTCTTCTTGTAAATTCCCATTGACACAGGTAAACCGATAGACACCTCGTAGTTCGATATGTGTATTTCATTGGTCATCATTGTTGTTAATTATTATTTTAACATGATCTGCTTCCATCATTGAAAGTGTAATCGCCATCTCAGCATTAGAAAATTAGAGGCAGTGTACCAGACATCTGCTATCTCACACTGCTACTATATGAACAGATGATTTGAATATTTTCGACGCTTTTGTGATTTGTTAAAACAGAAAGTAACTATGACTGAAGATATTGGAGAACATGGTGAGATGGTGTTATTTATTCAGGAGTTTGAATATGAAGGTGGAATATTTCATATTGTAGGGCAGTTATTAGGTAACATGATTATTTGCTTGATCATAGAGTATTTTCATTCAGTTTCATAGAGAAACAAATGTTCCATCTATCAGTCTATTCATAAATTAATACAGAGCTATTCATACTAAGGAATTGGATAGAGTTTAATTGTATTTAGCTGTACAAACTGCCAGATATATTATTACAGTGAAGAGAAAAGTTTTTCTCAAATTAAACAAGTGCATTTTCACTTCACGTGGTCTTCATAAAATAATATGTCCATAAAAAGCGAAATCGCTCAACTTGGTTATCATGATCTTCAGTCTGAACAGATAAAATTTCAAGCCTTAACATTTCTAATTCAGCAGCCAGTCATCTGATATAACTATCCACAGCTTAACCGTTTCCTAGTGTTTTCTTTTGCGAGACTTACTGCTTGAAGGAATTCGTGAACGTATATACCATAACTACCCAAACTCAGGAATGCAGCAGTTCGAATTGAAGACGAATTCTGTCGGCATCATACTTGCACGTGAACCTGAAGAGATTACTCATCAATGAAATCTTCTATAGTCCAACGTAGACACGCTGCACAACAGTTCTGTCAGCCAAATTAGCATTCGTATATCTGGGGTATTATTCGAATATGCAGATGAATATTTCCAACAACCTATCCGATATCCTGTCAAACACCACCTCTCAATTCAAAAATACACACAGCAAAGGAGGTAAATTGAGATGAACGAAAGGTACAAGCATTCATCTGTTGAGATGTGAAACCACTGACATTTGGAATGTTCGTTAAGTGTTCAACAGACAGGCAGACAGATAGATAGATAGGTGGCATGAAATTAAGATGAAACCTATGTACAGAACTGCTCCAAATGACTGGCATTTGCAACTGTACATATTGAGGGAATGAACAAGCACAACGTGATATATCGTTTCTCAGTGAGATGCACATAATTTACCAGATCCCCATCCTTCCATCAGTTTCTCACACTTTATGTTTCAAAGTATGTGCACATTGATTTCTTTTCAGACTGCCAGTTTCGGTAGTCTGTTGTTGTTTGCAGTGATGTCAGAGATGTGAATTGAGCTAATTAGCTGCGCCAATGCTGTTTATTGCCACTTTTTTGAAAAGTGAATATAAATTGGAAACTTTGTTGCCTGTCGTTCTTCATAATCCATTTCGGATGATATGTATTCTGACCCAGGGGTGGGATTGAGCGCGTGGGTACAATGAATACTGAGACTCAGTAGACACCTCAACCGAATACCTTCACGACTGACCTCCCTTAATTCCTTCTGCTTCACTGAGACGCGAAAAAATCAGAAGACAAAGACGGCGTATGACTGCAAGAACAGTGACAACCTCTATTAGGCAAATACATGACATATATGTATTTACAAAACTCTCAGAAAGTGAAGCCATAAATGAATCAATACGATTTCTTGCATGAGGTCGAACTTCTCCAATCAGGTTCTCATTTCAGCGCATGCATATATCACGACCTGAACATGATCTGATCATGACTTGAAAACAACTCCCCTATTGACTGCCTTCTTGTCGCTACGTATCAATATGTAGAACTCAGTCGCGAGTAGGTGCGTAGCTATTTGGGAAATCAACTATGCATTCGACATCTAGATTTATGGGGTGATTCATTCTCTTCTGTGACTTGAGCTATGCTGTCCTGTGGGGGTAATATTGAAATCTGCATCAACAGACCCATGAAATTGTATGCTGTCGAGGTGGCAATAAGTTGGGGAGTTGATTGAAAGAATGGAAACGTCGAGTCACCTAAGTCCTGGTCATCATGTTTTGAAAATATTTTGCCCGATAGAAGACATTTTCAATTGTTAGTCCTACACAACAGCTGCATCATCTTCCAATCATGCCTTCAGTATCCAGATGATTCGCTGGTACCATTTACATGCTCTATTATCAGATATCAACTTCACGTAGTCGAGATAAAACTGTACACATTGTGTACACGATAATGTTGGCTGCATAACATATTCTCCACGGTAACGGATTATGAAAAATGAAGTCCTTATTTCATGACTTTCTGTTTTCCTCCGACTGTGAAACAAGCCTTGACAAGGTGTTATTCGAGAATCAACAGTCAATATTTCGAAAGGTGAACAAAACATAGGTTTCAGATGAATGGTAGTGATGCTCTTATTAGGCAACTTGAAGGCCAGTGGACAGACGTCAGCTAAAACGAATGGGGCCACCGGTATTTTCATTTACTGGAAGTGACAGCGGATGCTGAGTAAGTCAGAGATGTTAAGACGAATCACTGCAGACAACACAGTCATTCTTAACCAGACATGTCCACAGAACCATATCCAACCGGTTATTTCAAAAAATTACTGTCTTCAATTCCTACAGACGGCAAACGCAACAGTGCATCAGAGCATGGTGAGTAAGGCCTAGTTAGACATTTTCTACAGATTTCCGACATATAAAAATTGAGACAGCTCCACGTCTACTCAGGATTCGTCAACAAACTGCAGATTGACATGTGTGATACTTCACTTACTACAATTAGTTGGTCTTCACTCCCCATATAATCCGACCACATTTATATACTGCCACATAATGCACAGAAGGCAGAAGAATAGATCAATAACGAATCTCACCATGTAAATGCATACAGGGAAACGCTGACAAATGTGCGTTTCAAGAGATGTATGAAAACCACTGAAATGATGTATAGCGAGAGAGAGAGAGAGAGAGAGAGAGAGTATTTCGACTCATGAACAAGTCGAACTGGGAAGAGATTTAACACGTTGACAAATGCAGGTGAGATACTCGTCAAGTGATGAAGAAAAGAAGAGAAAATGTCTTTTCGACGATGTGGTTCTGTGACGCTGCACAATCGTATTTATATACATCACAAACATATTTCAGTCTATCATTGAACAGTATGGTATAGCTGAACTAACTATTAAACATAGTGTTTTTTCCGGCCTATATGACTAGCTACATAGGAGCAAGTTTACTGGCATGACCGAAATGAAGTGGTTCAAAATGCAAAGATATCGTTAACAGCTTGGATCTATTCAGTGACTGCAGAAGCTGATCAATTGCTTGTCAGAAAAGAATACCATCGTCAGTGATCTAGACAAGCGATTAATCAGGATCTCTGCTGCGGTATCACGTTTGAAACCAATACTCATAAACAAAGTCTCCTTTGGAGCTGTCATCACTGACTCCATATTTCCTTTTCCTTTTGGTGACACCAAAAGGAAATCACGGTGCATTGAGCGAAAATATTTTAGATTCTATTTCCGAAAACAAGATTGGCACCACAGCAAATCAGTTTCTCAGTGGCATTAAATTTCTTATATCCCGTCCACTGATACAAGCGTGTAGCGATTCATGTACTGAAGGTATCGTAATATGATAGTGACGCTGTTCACAACACACCACCTTCCTCAGCAGGATAGCAATGAGTTAGAAGAAGAAAATTGCTGGCAAGGGAATGAATTGATTGCTAGTAGAGACGACACAAATGGCACGCAATCAAACAAAAGAAGTTCAGTTCAAATTCAATAACCAACCTCACTGAAAATTTAGAGTGGCCATGTATTCATTTTCAATACATGCACTAACAAACATCTGAATGCATTATATCTAACACAAAGTTAGTCTACGTTACCACAAAATCAAATTATATAACACAAAAACATGAATCGCCTTCCAATACAGCATCTGTCAAATAGTCACTGTGAGATACCATACAATTCCTACTGAATATTGCAAACAAAAATGGAGGAAACGGCAGCAGAAATAGATAGAAGCATGAGAAGAATTCAGCCTCCACGTAAAGGCGTTCAAACAGTAATAAAACGAACATTCAAAACCACCAAAATTTCAGAAAAGCATGAGAGCATGTATGTGAGGAAGTCCGAAAAGACAAAACGCACACGCAATAGCAAAGTCAACGAAAGAGAAACTGCACACATAAAATACAGAGTAAGAACAAACGAAATTAGAGGGAAGGGGATACAAAATTCAATTGAAAAGCAGTAATCAAGCAGAAGATAAAAGTTGGCACGGTTCAGGAAACCACAAAAAAAAATAAAATATCTAAGAATAATGAAAGAAAACTTCGTATCCAACAGCCACCGACTACAACTCGCCACGAATAGAGAGATGACCGAAGCTGCATGCAAGAGTTTATTCCTCCAAGTATGTCAGCCAACTAACTAAGCAACACGTGACTATGTATACACATGAGATGATTTGACCTTGTCCTCAATTTGAGACACTGACATAGTGAGAGTAAAGATTGACCAATCAGTGAATTACACTACGTACGAATGGGGGCAGGAAATAAACTACTAGTCATACTGTAAAAATGGTGTGAGAGTGAGAGCGAGTTAGAAATGTTCACATGA